TACCACTGCTTTTCACAACTGCGCTGTGGCTTACCTTTCATGTTTGTTGGTTTCTAGGGAAGGAATATCAAACGAACTACTTATATACAGCTCAGAGAACTCACCGACACCAAAGAACTTATGTTTCGCGTTTCATGTAAATTTTCCCGCGGCCATTGTCTACATTTGCTAAGCGTTCTCTGTCCCTCCTCATTGTCGTTGATATACTATTTGTCATATCTTGAAGCGCGTTTTAATAGCATGTATGCCCAAGCAAAAGTGATAACATTTTTTTACTAAAAATTCCGTCCACATTGGATGAATAAAGAGCACTCTTGACTTGACTATTATTCAGTGTAAATCCAGTCTATACAATGTAACCATTATTCAGGGATACGAAGTTGGCTGTGGAAGAAATATCCCATGAATTATTGTTGCATAAATGCAAAAGCACAGGCACAGAATAGTGTGTGTTTATGCACCAGAGTGGGATTGAAAGCACTTCCTCCCTCTCGCCAAAAAAAATTGAGATTACTATTGGTGTCTTTAAACTAAAATTAACTTGAAATTGTTGGCCACATTGTACAGTTGAAATATTTCTTTTTCAATTGGGATTACTGAAGGTCCGTTGTGTACGGATCAACCGATGATGCTCTTCAGGGTAAATAAAAAATATCTATTAGCACGAAATAGATAGCTCCAGAAAACACCTGACTCACGAGACAGAGGTTGGTACATCCGTGGTTAACACGGATGTATTGTTCACAATTTCCTGATAAGCCTTGTCCCGTGAGGAAAGCAGAAGTGGATCGTTATTGAATGCCTCCTCAACAACACGCGAGAACCGGAAGTAAAGGTCCAATAATCGACAGACGTATTTGTCAGCATCCTGAAACAGAATGGACAGCTTTTCGGCTCAACCATGAACCATCTCATGGAACCTTTCCTCTTTTTCGTTTCAATGAGATTAATCAAGTAGAAACCATGCCTGATGTAACTGTAAAGCCTACCAAAACGAACATGTGATACGGTGTTACAAACAGAAACAAGATCCCCGGCCGTTCGAAATACAAATAGAGGCATGAATATCCCACTCAGCGAATGATACGTGCACAGTGTGCATGACGGAGGGATGAAAGGGAAAAGGAGCATACAATCAGCTTCTTACGCACACTGAGCAACTGGTGCGATCGATAGGCTTCTCGACTAAAAACAGGTAAAATGAACGCTTAGCAAAAAACAGACAAACATTTTCCAGATGGTCGACTTGGTCTGGACAAAACTCAACAGTATAGCGGAAGAGAAGAGGTAGGGAAGTGCACAAGAGATAGATGAAACACTACCCGTTACCAATATAGGAATACTAGTCGTGGTATTTGTGACAAAACCTTGTCAGCGGAGACATAAAGAAGTAATTGGGAACAACAACAACGAAGATATACGTTTTCAAATGATGAGCCAATATTGGTAAATGAAAATGAAGAGGTGCAGATGGACGAAAAAAAGTATTTTAACTAGAAGCGCCTTGTAAATCTTGTCTACTTTGAAAGTTATATCTCATCAGGCGGTAGTATTCGAAACGAGATCATGCTCTGAATGATAAAAAACTGATTAGCTTTTACTAACATGACATACTAGTGACTCTAACGGTGCACGCATCGCACTACAATCCACACAGTGCTACTTTATGACAGTGAATCCAGGTCTCTCTCCCTAAAGACATTCACCAATTATTCATTGTTGATTGTCGACATCTTCGGAACATCAATGAAGTATGGAGGTGAAATCGCATTCTTAACAAAGTATATATATATATATATATACTATCCAATAAAGGCGCTTAGTTACAATTGTTCTGGTTAGTAGAATCTAACCCGCCTACAAACATCGAATTTTGGTATCGATTCATGAAATGAAGTGATCCTGAAAAAGCTATACAAACAAATTTACCTGGTGTACCAAATGAGGTTAGTACGACGTAAATAACCTTCCTAGGTGCAAGTAAATAAATGAAGTGACAAAATATTACCCGATACGCATGTTTGACGAGGGGCAAGAACCGCGAAACCGGTTGTGTTTTTGGGTAATTTTGACGGATTACTCATATACTACTTATTGTAACTTGGTACGATCTTCCGTGTTCCGTCACCGAGGATGAATATGAATGGCGAAATATAGCAAACTAGACGAACATTGCTGTAGTTTTCGAAACGATTTTTTTAGCCAATCGTAGACCCTTACGCTGCCATAAGTTTGCCTATACATATTTATATCACTCTGTGACATTCTTTTTTGAAGCAGTGAGAAATACCGAACAATGATAAGTTAAATGGAATGAAGATCGTGAAGAATTCACAATGCTAACCTTAAGCATTGTCTCCGCATTGACACGAATATCTTCAAGACCCGTTTGCTTGATATACTGCTCAAACAGGGGGAGCAGGGCGTGAAAACCATCTGGACCGCGGCGGATCAATTCGTAAAATCGTCTAAGAGAAACAGTATCTTCTTCTCGCAACAGTTTAGGAACTTCGGCTAACAACTGATCCTGCAATGTGTTATAAAATGGAAAAGAGAAATATACAAATAACAACACGGGAAATTTATAGTCCAGGAGCTGTAAGGCGTAGTCGTTTTGCTGACGTCACCTGGGAACCTTGATTCATCATAATTGTCCGAAAACTGTAACATCTCGCTCCGTGGCTTGCTAGGAGCATCACAGGCAAGTCAAGGGAAATGGGCCAAAGAAAGATGAGCAAATGGACAAAGAAAGATGCTCGCCGCAGTAAATCGATCTTTTTGTTGGTCCCAGCAGACGACTGCTGAGGTGAAATTCTCTAATACATGTTGTCAGAGGAAACCTAATTTTCCCTGAAAATTGCCGCAAAATCAATGGAAGAAGATTCGGACCAATCACCCCCATGGGAACTTGCCGGGGTTTTCTGGATGCTACTGGATTGGTGGAATCCAAGGGAGAAAATGAAATATAAAAATCCGTTTGGTCCATTCACTGCAACAGCGGTCTCGTATTTTTATTCTGGAAAAAGCTATGCTGAGCATAACTGTATAAATATAGCACTCTTGTCCGTTATTTAGTGCACATTTCTGACTCTTCCCATAAACCCTCGCATTGTTTTGCAATCGTTTTTAGACTGGAATCGTTAGGAAACGTCTTCTGGGATAAGATTCGGTGATAGTTTGACATACACAACACATATCACATTTGGTTTGAGTCTAAGCCACCATGGGGATAGCTTCCGTGCCGATAACCGAGGAGTTTTGAAACGAGAGACTGGGTTCTGGAGTGACGACACCAATGGAATCGACAAGAAAATACGACTGTCACATCTGGCTGTCCAGTTCACTTAATGGTGTGAGGCCAAACTACTACCCAAGGTAGACGCAAACATCGAGGTTTTCACCACGGTTTTGCATGATCTGCAGGTATGAAGTTTGTCGCCTAACAAATTCGGTTGTCATTTCCAAAATATTGTACAAACCAGATTATCATGGACCATAATTTTATTCCCCCTTGAAGACACATTATCAGGAAGTGTAATAAACACTCCTTTACGAAAGAATCGGAAAGCCATGAAAGCTCATGGTGCATCAGTTCGCAGTGAAGTGAATAATTGCTCGTGAGAACATAAAGGTAACAATAATGTTATCGTTTCACTCTTTAAAATACTATTTTCCTCACTGAGATTCTGAAATCCAATGCACCTTTTGATGATTGAAACCGAATGCGGTGTCTTCTTATGTCAGAAAAGGGGTTAATTCGCATTTAACTCACAATTACTTGTGAATAGTGATGTGGGATAATTGATATTTATTCATTTGAACTGACTATCCTTCGGACTTCACCTTCAAGCACAATCCTCACTTCATCGATTCAACCATACACTCGGAAGCACTAGACTCGAGTGATGCTCTTTTTAGAGCTCCTCAGTAATGCATATCCCCCGTCCAGTCCGGAATTGGAACTCCGGACCCATCCATCACATGAAAGATGTGTGCGTCACCACTGTGGCAATCAGCTCAGTTCAAATCACTAAAATGGGGCTAATGTCAAATTTTTATCGATAGCCAGGTGAATAATGTTGTGAGCATCTAAGCAAATTTGTCATGACCTACTAGCAAACCTACACACCTTTATGGAGACATCACAAGAAAGATGAAACGCATCGTTCATATTGAGAGTTATATTCGTTTACGTTTTAAGGGAGGATTGCAATTTTTAATGGATAATTCGGCGATCATTGAGTCGATCGTTGAAGTGCAAGTGAATGTAGACGAAATATTCATCCACCGCCGCCCGTCTTCCTTATATCTGTATTTTCCCTCGGCAGCCTTTGTATGGCCGCAGCCCCC